CATTTGTCTCCATACTGGTATTTTTGTTATATTAATGACAGTTATATTATTTTTTTGTCTATACTTGTGTTTCACCAGAATATAGTCTGTGTTATATGTGATAAATATATAATTTTTTCCTGACTGTAACTTGTTTTGTTTCCAGATAAGGTTGCATTGTTGAAAGTTTTATTTAGTGTTCTGTCTGTAGGTGTCATTTTTGTTATTAGTATAGAGTGATTTTTCTTTTATAAGTTGCTAAGTAAGATTCACACTTTATACCAACTGGAAAGATTTAGACTGATAAATATTGGTATGAATAAAAAAAAGAGATGTTTTATTTTATTCATGATTATAGATTTGATTAAAAAAGTTTGGTGATATTTTTATCTTATGAAGTTGAAGAAACCATTTAAGTAAAATAAAAAAAAGTTTTCTTATCATTGTCCTGGTTAGTAGCATAATTATTAATTAGTTCGATGAGTTACTAATCTTTTTCTCTTCCATCCTAAAGTAACTTTGTATTTTACACACCATTAAACAATTATGACGATACTTTCAGCTTATGCAGTTAAAGAGAACTAAGCAGGAAATGGAAAGAAAAGTAAAGGACCAAGAAGAGGAACTTGAAGACTTGGCAGGACAGGTTCAACTTCTGGAACAAGGCAAGCTTCGTCTAGAAATGGCTATGGAGAAACTCCGACAGGAGACTCGAAAAGAACTGTCTGCTAAAGAGGAGGAAGTGGAAGAAATCAGAATGAGTGCGACAAAAAAAGTAAATTGAAAACATAACTTGTTAGTAATTAACAATTAAAATGAAAAATAATAGTAAAACAAGTACAAAACTACTTTTAGAAAGTGAAAGAGATTTATTTTAAAACTGTCTAAAAGTTTTTTTTTACACTTCAAGAGACCCAGGAATCTATGAAAGGTTGAATGAGTACTCCTTACAATATCAATGTGAAAACTAATTATAATGTTGTAAAGTATGAAATAACAGATGAGTTTTGTTTGGCAAAAGATTTTATAAGTTGATGATGAACTAAAAGAATGTAATCTACAAAAAATGAAAATTTTGTAAATGTTTTTCTAATGCAAAATTGCATGAACACTGTATTCTGAATGAATATGGGAGATACAAGTTTAAACCTCAATAATGATATATTTACTATTGTAATAAACTTTTCAGGTATGAAAGACATCTCAGTTTTATGTTTACACAAGTTCATGTGATTGAGGTTACAAATATTCTTTGAGTGTGAATGTACTCCTTATTTTTTTATGATATTAAACTTTAGTTCCAATACAGTATATACCTCCTCTCACAAGATTAGCTATTCTTGTTCAATGCTGCCCTCTATATGCGAACTTTTACTTTACACATGTCACAAGCCTTCTACTCCTCACTTTTGGAATGGAAAGATTCCAACATGTCTCCCATGCAAATCATCATGCGTCATTTTTCCATCAATAGGAGCGGGACATACATGTTGCATGTGACTCCTTCTACACTCCCCTATAGAATTACCACTTGTTTATTTATCTTCTCTTAATTTACACTCCTCTGTATGTTTTTTAAGCATAATATACATGACAAGATACTGCACTTAAAAATGAATATTTACAAACAAACTGTTTATTATTTACAAAATAAAATCAAAATCAACAAATTAAAGAATAAAATAAAAAGGCAAAAGAATTACAATTTTCAACAAAATTTGTAGTTTAAAATGATTTTAAACATTAGTTTTCTCATTACTTATGGCTATTCTTCTTTTTAAATGTTTCCAATAAAAATAATTTTGATTTAACTTCTTCATGCATAATATCATAAATAATGTTCAATCATGATGTTCAACATGTATCTTGTGTTCACTCCAGGTTAAGAACTTAGAGGCTCAACTAGAGAATGAACAAGAAGATAGACATCAGCTAATGAAGCAGAAGCATGAACTGGAAAGAAAGATTATTGACATGAGTGAAAGACCACCAGAAAAGGATCCTGAATTGGAGCGGAGGCTTCGAAGGGACCTGAGAAGAACAAAAGCTTTGTTGCGTGATGCTCAGGATATGATGGAGCATGCTCAGGATGGGCAAGGAAATAAGTTAATTATCAGACAGTTGAAAAATCAGGTTTGTGCTCATAAATGTTTATAAGAAAGATTTTGAAATATTAAAGCAGGTTAAACATGACTACTTAAAAATTAATTTTGGTAATGGTTTGGATAGTTATAATAAAGTTAACCCTAGAATGCATGTTGTTAATGATAAAATATTAAAGCAGGTTAAACATGACTACTTAAAATTAATTTTGGTTATGGTAATGATAGTTATCATGAAGTTAACCCTAGAATGCCTGCTGTTAATGATAAAATATTAAAGCAGGTTAAACATGACTATTAAAAATTAATTTTGGTTATGGTAATGGTTTGGATAGTTATAATAAAGTTAACCCTAGAATGCCTGCTGCTAATGATAAAATATTAAAGCAGGTTAAACATGACTACTTAAAAATTAATTTTGGTTATGGTAATGGTTTGGATAGTTATAATAAAGTTAACCCTAGAATGTCTGCTGTTAATGATAAAATATTAAAGCAGGTTAAACATGACTACTTAAAAAATTAATTTTGGTTATGGTAATGGTTTGGATAGTTATAATGAAGTTAATGATAAAATATTAAAGCAGGTTAAACATAACTACTTAAAAATTAATTTTGGTTATGGTAATGGTTTGGATAGTTATAATGAAGTTAACCCTAGAATGCCTGCTGTTAATGATTGAAAATTTAACACTGGCATTCTAGGGATGAAGTAGGTATATAAGTATGTGCATCACAAGTAGCAAAAATATTAGATCCCTTTGTACTAGAACTGCTGGTTTTTAAGTGGGATTATGAGAATCCAGTACATTTAAATATGAACAAAATAAGACATAATGTAAAATGTAGCCTTAATGTTTAAATACAGTAATGTACATCAGAACATTGATATATATAGTAAGGTTATATGTATTGAATTTCCTCTACAGCAGTTTTAACTCTTGATACGTTGACAGAATATGTTTAGACACGTGTTATAGTTAATAGTACTTTGACAGGATAGGTATAGTAAGGTGATAGATGATTACTTTCAGATATGACAGTGTGTTAGCTATATTCATAAATACAATACAATGTAAGTGTATGTTAATTTGTTACCTTTAGCTTGAAGATGCAGAATTTGCCAAGACAGCAGCCATTAAGGCTCGACAAGGAATTGAACTAGAGTTACAAAATGTACAGAATCAATTGGAAGAAATTACAAAAACTAAAAATGAGGTAGGGAGCCTGTTTGTTACTCTCCTTAAATTTTCATTCCTCATGTTGTTTGGGTTATATAAATATCTTACAGGTAGTTTAAAACAATTAGAAAACATGTTTTTTCTATCTTTGTTTTTATTTTATTATAACTTATTTTGTGTTTTTATCAACTCTGTAATGATGAGTAGTTCACAAGGAAACAAACTATGTTGTCTTCTATTTGATAAAGAATGGTTAAAATGAGGAGGTATTTAACAGTGTGTATACTGGTAAGAAAAATATAATGTTGGTATAATATAGATTGGTATTGATGTTGATACTGTTATTTATTAGACACCGTATAAGGTCTTACCATGTCATGATATTGATACTATTATTCATTAGACACTATATAAGATCTTTTCATAAATCTTACTGATATAAACTATAATATTTTTATGCATTAAAAGTGCTTCTTTTTACTGAAAAAATAAGTTTTTTAGGAACTCCAGTTTTCAGTGCTACATTTAAAAATTACATCAGTAAAAACATGATCAAATCCTCAGTCTTAGTGAATGTCGTGTTCTTGTGAGGAGAATACTTTATTTAAAATTGTGTTCTGTTTTAATGAAATTGTAGTTATTTTTCTGAATCTTGAATACCCAAAATGAGAATTTTTTATGATTTTTTATTTGCGATGCCATTCAATAGATGGCGCCACATTTCATAAGACTAAATCACCACTTATGGCATTGAGATCTTGTATTTCGGTCACAATATGTGGCCATGCTATTGCTCCATTATAGTAAGATTATCTGCTACAGGATAAGAAAAGTGTATGCAGTTTGCCTGTGAACCCAAGTTATATTTAAATAAGACCTGTACTTATTGGTACCATAACTAGGTAGTAAAATCTTGTTTCGTATGAGCATGAAGAATATGAATTGGTTGTCTAAGATTTGGTATTCAGCCTTTAAATGAGACAATACCAAGAATCTTGGTATTTCTGTAAAATATACAAAAACAGAATCTTTTCAAAGTTGAAGATTACTTGAAATTTAATTAAAAACCAATAATATTTAAAAAAAAAGAACATACAAGAAAACTGGTAGGTTTACTTGTAAAATGTTCTATTAATGATACTATTATGTACCAGGTTAGGTGTTTTTGACCAAGATTTTGTGTATTATACAGATCAAAATCATTAATTTTTAATATAAGACTTAACAATTATTGGACCAGATGTTTTTTAAGTTATATCAAATGTTTTGTGTAGTATCATAGTGGTGTTTTTAGGTAAATTTTTATATGGGTGGAATTTAAAATATTTCTTTTTCCAGGGAATCTTGACTTTAATAAAACATTTTATACTTGACAGGCAGAGGGCCGCTGCCTCCAGCTTTCTCGTGAAAAATCAGCCTTACAGACTCAACTGGAAGAAATAGAGGAAGAACAAGGAGAGGTTCTTAAGAAGTACAAATCTGCTGTGCAACAGGTAAAAATTGTCATGAATGATTCACATATATTAATATAGATATTGCTTTATATGCAAAGTTGTAACCAAGAAATACAGTGACTTGTTTGAAGTTCTATTCACATTAATTACTGTAACCAAGAAATACAGTGACTTGTTTGAAGTTTTATTCATGTGAAAGACTGTAACCAAGAAATACAGTGACTTGTTTGAAGTTCTATTCACATTAAAGACTGTAACCAAGAAATGCAGTGACTTGTTTGATTTACGTGAAATGCTGTAACCAAGAAATACAGTGACTTGTCAGAAGTTTTATTCATGTGAAAGACTGTAACAAGAAATACAGTGACTTGTTTGAAGTTTTATTCACATGTGAAAGACTGTAACCAAGAAATACAGTGACTTGTTTGAAGTTTTATTCACGTGAAAGACTGTAACCAAGAAATACAGCGACTTGTTTGAAGTTTTATTCACGTGAAAGACTGTAACCAAGAAATACAGTGACTTGTTTGAAGTTTTATTCACGTGAAAGACTGTAACCAAGAAATACAGTGAATTGTTTGAAGTTTTATTCACGTGAAAGACTGTAACCAAGAAATACAGTGACTTGTTTGAAGTTTTATTCATGTGAAAGACTGTAAACAAGAAATACAGTGGTAGAACTATAGTGTTATTTCTGGTTAATATTTGTTTTAATGGTTTGACATTTATTCTGCTCTAGATGACTAACGATCAGAAACTACTGAGTGATCAGACTTTTCAGATTACTGATTTAGAAGAAGAACGTCAAATGCTTAAGGAACAGGTAAGTAATTTGTTTATACAAGTAAATTTTTTTTCCTATCTTTAACAGAAGAGGTTGATGTTTAATTTTATTCATGAATAGTTTATGTAATGATTGAATTTTTAAAGATAAATCAGTTTTTGTATGTGTAAAAATATCAGTTTCCAATTGGCAACTTTAAAGAAGTATTGTATACTTATAGCTCTTTGTTAAAGTTAATTGAACTGGAAATTCCTACGATTAATTTTTACAAGGAACTAAAAGTGTTGTAGTGATTGGAGGAGGAGGTGGTGCTGTATTCTGTTTTCAACTTACACAGTGTATGTTAGGAAAGTTTTAGTGAAATACCTGTTTTACTTATGACCAAAAGATTTTAGAGAACAGTAATTCTTTATGAGTTTATTAATTTAACCTTCGAGTATAGTTTTCAGCAATATGTATACATGTGGCTAAGATTTTCATACTTGTTGGTTGTTAACTATACTGTATTTGTTTACACATTAAAAGATCGGTGAACTGACCTCCCGGCTGGAACACATATCAAACAAAAGTGAAGATCCTATTGCTGTGAAAAGAGTTGAAGCTAAAATGCGAGAACTGGAATCACGGCTAGATTTTGAACAAATTAATCGGAGTCGATTAGAGGTACCTGTGAGCTGTAGCTTTGAAATTTAACTTTATTACACAAAGAATTTTGTTTTATTGCAAAGCTTATAGAACTGTTATTTTTAATGTGAAAACTATATGCATACATAAGTTGAATTCAGAAATGTCCTTATGTAAAAGTTGTACTAGTAACCTGTACTATTTAATGTTACTTGTTGTTTTATAATGTAATGTGTGCATGGGAAATATACGTCCAAACCGCAGTGATAGGATGAAAGCTTATGATAATACTTTCATCAAGAATAGTTTTGATATGAAACAAATCATATTTTCATTGTATCAGCTTTATTACCATTTATGTTGATCGTTACAATACATCCTTTTATGATAACAAAATTCCTCAGTGTTTCACACTATCCAAAATATTTGATAAAAACTGTTCTAAGATATACCTTAGCAGAAAAAGAAATCTAATATTTTTTTGTTTTGAAAAGGATTACTTGTCTTGAAGGTGAACTCTCTATCTTCCAGAAACAACTTGAGAGACTGAAAGAGCAGTGTGATCGGCTGAGGGAAGAAAATGAAACACTGAAAACTAAAGATCATCATGCACAAGAAGGTGAAAAGAGACTGCAAAGACAGATTCGAGAGCTTCGTGAAGATTACACAAATCTACAACAAAAGGAGTGTGAGGCTCACCAAAAATGTAGAGAGCTGGTAAAGCTATTTCATTCATGGTTAAAATGTGTTCTAGATATAAAATTGTCTTTGTATTTTCTTGATATATAAAACTGGCTTATTTTCTTACATAAAAACTCTAATAATGTTAGTTTTTCCACTGAGAAGTTAAACATCTGGTGGAACATATATATATATATATACCAGCATTACTAATTGATTAATGTTTATTAATCTCTAGTTCATCCTATCAAATGATATTTGGGATTCTCACAGGTGCTTAAAAACCTGAAACATCATGAAAAATGCATAATTATAAATCCACACCTGGAACTCTTGGAAAATTTGTGATTTATTTTTATTGTTTGCACAGATCTGTTTCTAGTTTCACCATAGAAAATTCCTGTTAATTAAAATCAAATCCTAGAGTTCCTCCTACAAATAAATATTGTCTACATTTCAATTTTAATACCAATGGATATTACTTTTTTCAGTAAATAATCTATCATAAGTAAGCATTTTTTTATAGTCAGTTACTATATACACTGCTTCCAGTATCCTAAAAAAGCATTTTGATTAATTAACAAATTCTCCAAAAATCTTAATGTACTTAGACATAGTTACAGTTCTGTCTACAACTACTCCGAACATGGAGATTTCATGTTTTCGTTGCATTATATCAGTTCTAGAACTGTCTTTTAGCCAACAATACAAACATCTAAATATTTATAAGTTTAGTTACCACAATAGTGTGATAACATTTTTAGTGAAATTATGATTTTCCTCTAGGTTGAAACAGCAAAATTAAAGTATGAGTTTCAACAAATCTATTTCCATTTTGATAATAAGAGATAATAAACAAATGAAAATACAAATATTAATATACAAATTCAAGATTTTATTTTGTTCCAATATTATCTCATCTTCCATATCCAAATACGAAACTCGCTGTTTTACCCTCACCTCCTTCAAGATTTAATGCTGAATTTCTCTTAAAATGTAGACCTTGTGCATACATTAGATCAAGTGCAATAGATTTAAGGACACATTTTTCTTTATACAGACTTATGCAGGACTTTTGGATTGGGCCAGAATAATTTAATATTTTTTTTTCCTTTTTGTTTTGATGCCATAACATGCTTTTTTGTACAAATGTATAATTTGTGTTGGCTGATCTTGGAATTACAAGTAATAGAAATGTACAAATCGTACATATTAAATAAGGTCAGTTGCTTTTGTATGTATTAAAACAATTTCAAAAAGGATTCTTTACAAATGTTTAACTGTTTTTTTTATCTAATAGAATCCTATTTAAAGGTGAAAAGCACCACAGAAATTAGTATTTTAACTTCTCAAAGTTCTCCTGGTTTTTTAATATTCTATCAGGAATTGTCCTTAGAAAACACTGAAGCTGATTTACAGTCAACTAAAAACGATCTCCGCCTAGCTTGTCAGAGGATACAGGATCTTCAGTGTGCCTTGGAAGAAGACCTAGATACGAGTACAGACGTTCCTGATGATAGGTTAACTACTTTCTCCTTGTGATAAATGAATAGTTTTTGTTCTCATCATTGTGAATTAATACATTAAAAGTATGTCTCTGCTTAGTAGTAATGTCTTTATTTATAGGTATAGATATTTTTGGCTATAGGTTGTTTATAAGCTAAAATAGAGTTTCTTGTTGATAAGTGTTAATGTCTTTTCTGGTGAATACAGATGTTCTTCTCAAGTGGCAAATGTTTTTAATGAATGATGACTGAATATTGCTTTGTTGGTTATGTGTTCTACAGGATTTAATAATTAAACATTTCTTCAAGGGGGTCAGGAATAATCCTGCTTATTAAATAGTTTACTCATGAATTAGTCCTTGTGTGTTAGCTGAAAACTTGTGGATCACATATTCCTGATCTATTGTGTTTGTAGTGGAGATGGGCAAGGCATGGCCTCATGGTTAAGTTGCTCGACTCGCAATCTAAGGGTTGTGGGTTCGATTTCCTGTCACTGAACCTGCTTGCCCTTTCAGCCGTGGGGGCATCATAATGTGACAGTCAATCCCACTATTTGTTTGTAAAAATGAAGCCCAATAGCGGGAGGTGAGTGGTGCTCACTAGCTGCCTTCCCTCTAGTCTGTCACTGCTAAATTAGAGACAGCTAGCACAAATAGACCTCCTGTAGCTTTGTGCAAAATTCAAAAAACAAATAAACCATTATTTTTATGTTGGCTGTATATAAACCTGTGGTCCATATGTTTCTGATACATTCTCATTATGTTGGCTGTATGTAAACCTGTGTTCTACACGTTTCTGATCCATTCTTTTTTTTTTGGCTGTGCATAAACCTGTGATCCATGTGTTTCTGATACATTCTCCATGCTGGCTGTATATAAACCTGTGTTCCACACATTCCTGATACATTCTCTTCATGTTGGCTGTATATAAACCTGTGTTCTACACGTTCCTCATCCATTCTCTTTATGTTGGCTGAGTTTGAATACATAGTAGATACTGTTGTGTTTGCTGGGTATAAACCAGTAGTAAATACTGGTTCATGTCTACTCTAGCTGTGTATAAACCTGTGGTCCATGTGTTCCTGATACATTCTTCATGTTGGCTGTATGTAAACCTGTGTTCCACACGTTCCTGATCCATTCTCTTTATGTTGGCTGAGTTTGAATACATAGTAGATATTGTTGTGTTTGCTGGGTATAAACCAGTAGTAAATACTGGTTCATATCTACGCTAGCTGAGTTTAAACCTGTGGTCCATGTGTTTCTGATACATTCTCCATGCTGGCTGTATGTAAACCTGTGTTCCACATGTTCTAATCCATTCTCTTTATGTTGGCTGAGTTTGAATACATAGTAGATACTGTTGTGTTTGCTGGGTATAAACCTGTAGTAAATACTGGTTCATGTCTATGCTAGCTGAGTTTAAACCTGTGGTACAGAAATATTGAATGATTTATCTATTACTGCTATGTTTTGGTGGCTAAATATTTTTGTCAGGGTTAATGGTCTTACTTACCCTTGTTTTGTCTAGTTTGTGAATTTACAAACCTGTTATTATTGATAAGTGAAACTGTGTGGTAGGAATGTAATGTCAGTATTTGATAAATCACAGATCCCATTTGGAAAAGGCAAACATTTTAAGAAGTTCCTTTTTCGTTGTTTAAAAGTCACATTTGTTGTGATTCACTGAATTAATTATTGATAGAAACAGTTATTGAAATCAAGCTGAATAATAACACAGAAAGAATGTTGAACTGAGTAAAATATAAATATGAAGTAAACAGTAGCTATAGTATTGTATGTTTAGTCTGAATTTTGGAAATAATGTTTTAGATGCTTTAAAATACACATTAAGAATTAAGTCACAGTAAGTTTTTTATTTTGATAATTCAGGAAAATAGTGATACAGCTGTTTTTGTTGGTGGTATACAGCTTATTTTGTTACTTGTATGAGACTTGTTACTGGTATCATGTAATAAAGCTGGTATACAGCTGTTTTTGTTGGTGGTATACAGCTATTTTGTTACTGTATGAGACTTGTTACTGGTATCATGTAATAAAGCAATAGTACAGGATATACAGCTCATTTTGTTACTGTATGAGACTTGTTACTGGTATGTAATAAAGCTGGTATACAGCTGTTTTTGTTGGTGGTATACAGCTCGTTTTGTTACTGTATGAGACTTGTTACTGGTATCATGTAATAAAGCTGGTATACAGCTGTTTTTGTTGGTGGTATACAGCTCGTTTTGTTACTGTATGAGACTTGTTACTGGTATCATGTTATTAAGCAATAGTACAGATGTTGTTATTGTGGATGAACTTACTAAATCATTGTTGTGGCAGTTAATTGGGTAAATGTTCTAGTGCAACAACTACGTATATGTAATATAAAAATATTATGTTTGCACTAATTCTAGTATTTGAATGATGGTCATTTTAAACTTTTTGTTTAGTGGATCTGACAGTGAGAACAGTAGTGATATAGAACCTAGCCACCACCAGTTTTCTTCTGGAAGACAATACAGCATGGGTGAAAACCCATCGTTTAGCCTGACCCACCTCAGGCCTTTGCCGAGCAGTAGGTAGGATTTTTTCTAAGCATGCAGCCGATTGTGTCAGATGCCCACCTAACAATCTTAGACTTTGTTGTCATAGAAACCAGTAATTCATGTATGGTTTGTAACAACTTTTAACATGTAGATGTAATATTTCCTTATAGTAGTTGTGATTAAATTATTGATTTTTAAGTTTTGACAATACCAATATAACATAAAAGCATGAATTTATAATTGGACTAACAGTATGTTTTAAAAGGATCAATTTACATTAAGGGTTACCTGTATTTAGGTGGTTCTTCAGATAGTAATTAATAAGCAGTAGTTTGACTTTAGTAAAATGTTTAATTTGTTCTGAGGTTTGTTACCTTTATTTGAAAGATATAAAATTATTTATTGATTGAACCTTGTGTTAAATTCAACTTTAATTAACACTCACTGATGTAAAAATTCAGATAACACAAAGATATTGAAAAAAAAGGTTTAAAAATTTTCCGTAATTCCTCAAAACTGCTTATACAAAAGTTAAACCAATACAACATCAAGACTAATATTGTAGCCTTTGAAAAGTATCAAAATGTATATATTTTTTATATTGTAGGGATGATGATGAAACAGATCTCTCTCCCGTACAACCTGTAGGAGCAGATTGTTCAGATACTGGCATGAGGGAGAGCATGGCATGAGCTTCAGAATCCAATAGCCCTAATTGTAAGGGAGAAGTGCTTGTTCTGTTTCGTGTTACGACAAGGAACACCCCCAAAAGGCTTCCACAGCACTGACAAGAATAGTTAAAAAGAATTTTCCAGTATTGATTATAGATTTTTCTTTTTAAAGAACAAAGTTTACTGAAACCACTGTTTTGTCATAATTATTACACATTTTATACAACACTCAAAAGATCATTTTGCTGAAGTGGCTTTTTTTGTTGTTGTTAAAGGTAAGTGTTTGAACTGACTGACTATAAAGAGTCATTGTAATAAATGCTTATAGTAGGTGTTGTATTGGAAGAAACAATACATCTTATGTAACTATTAGAATTTAACATTGTATTTATGTGTATAGTATTGTTACTCCACATTAATATGGGGAATTTTTTTTTATGTGAAGTTAGTATTATATTCCTGGCCTAAAGTATTTGTCTAATAAAATATTATCATACTCAGGCTACTTATCCACATCACAGTTTAAATTAAGGTGCTAGAAACTTTACTGTTTAATTAAGTTGCACTACAGCATTTTATTCAACAAGACTTATTGTTCTTTCAAAAGATTTAATATATCGAAACAGATATTAACTTGGTTGTGTGTTACAGAATTTTTATCCCTTTCTTTACCTTACATTTCCATACTAATGCTAGGAGCTTGTCTTTTATCATAGTGTTGTCTTTTGCCAAAAACAGTTAATGAAACCTTTTTGTTCTGGAGTTGTAGTTATCTGTATTAATGAATTGTAATTTCCTTTGTACAATACTGTGAAAGTTTCAGAAATGTTTGTTTGATTCTGAATATACCACACAAATATGATTTAAGGAATTCGACTCGTTGAGGCAAATAAAAGTATAAGTAAATTCTTAAAGCCCTATAACAAGTGTAGGACTTCTGTATTCCTACCAACAGTGAACAAGATATTATGTAAGATTTTGTCTATTAAAACATTCAGTATTTTACTCAAGATTTAAAAAAAAATACAACGTATGAGTTTGACTCTTCACCATGATTCCTCAGGTGAGCTATATATTCAATAAAATAGCTTTGTATGTTGTACAGAACATAAAACATATGCAAGTAAAAACCACTCCTTGCACTGGGTCTGTAATTTATAAATCGGAAGTGTGATTCTTTGAGTACTTACTAGAAAACAAAGGAATTCCTGACTATTGTGTTGTTACTTAATTAAAAGAGTCCACATCGGAAGATTTTAGGGTTCATATAGATATATTTTATATATACATATTACTAGTCATTTTCCTCCCATGTAAAAACAAATATTGTGTTCTTTTGTCCATTACTTTAGCTGCCTGGTCAATGGGGTCATTCTTTTGTGGATGTAACATGAAACAAATAATCAATGCTTCTTGGGTGTTGTATGTATGAAATGGAAGCTGTGGACTCAAAACGAGATTTTCTTTTGTTGATTTGATTTAATAACATGAAGGTATTGTATTGTCTTCCATTTTCTTAATGTTATTTTGTAACCTGATTATTTCTTTCAGTCCTTTCTCATTAACAGAAAGCTGTGCATTTTATAACTTCCCAAGTGAACAGTATTGGAGCTTTCAAGTTTTGCTTGACCACAGTGTTACATTTCCTAGCTTCTGTACGATACATATCCTACTAACAATATTATAATTACATTGGAAACTGAATGATTTCTACGAACACTTGGTGCTTTGAGATTGTTTGTGGTAATGAATGTAATGTTAACAACCACAAGGCTGACTGGACTGTATGTTAGCAAAACAAATAAAATGTGCTTCTTTGGTAATATTTAGTGTGTGTATTTTCTTGCAGGTTTTCAGTCAGCTAGTTACATTTTCACAAAAGGTTTAGTCCCATATTAATCCTACACATAAAACTACTATATTTGTTTAAAAACAAAAATGACCTTGTAAATAGGATGTGTAAAATGAAACAATCCTTTTTAAATACTATTTTCACATATTGGTAAACGAGTATTAATTGTGTTTTCTTAGAGACAGTTTCTCACATGCTGATTTAAGTTTTTAAACCTGAATGTAAATTTCAACATTCCTTTTGTTTAAAGATAAAATGGTGGATAGTTAAGTGTCCGAGATACAGTTCAAAGTACATCGAGTCAACCACCAGGTAGCTTGAAATGCACATTAAAGAACATAGAAATCAAATATAGGTAATTATTCTTAGTGAATCACAGCTTATTGACAAGTATTAATAACTTGTTATATTTAAACAAAGTCTACAACTTAAAGTGAGTTTAGTTATTAATCTGTTGTGACTGTTTTCTTCCCTCCCTCTTAAAAATGTATGAAGGTCATTATAAATAAAAAACGCTCGTGTATAAAATAGTAAAATAACTCAAATAAAAGTGTTACTTTTAAGATACAAACCATGCACAATATATATACACATATATTTATTCCAACCAAGAAGTATTGCTGCCTGAGTAACATATAGACTGTGATAATCTTGCATGTAAAAGACAGTACAATCCAAAGATATTGTATTAATCACACAAGATATTTCTCATACTTGTGATTTAATATATTGTGTTTTATAAATTCATTATTATTTCTACAACATAGTTCTTTATTAAAAGCACTAAATTCACTAACCATGCATACCAAAGTTTAATATTTTGCTTTTCTCTCTAAATCTGTAACCAAGTCATTTGTACAAAGCTTATATTTGCACTAGCAGAAGGAAGTATTGTAAGCTTTATTTATAACTATTTGTTACATAACGTGTATATATGTATGAAACTTTAATGGGTGTGGCTAAACTCTACACATTTAAGATTGCATATACTGTATACAACTTGAATAAATCTCTGATTCTTAAAAATTATGTGTGCACGGTATCTGAATTCAAAATTAGTAACAAGTATTAATTTTATAAAAAGCTGGGAGAAGAATACCATACCTAGTCTATACCCATGCATAGATTTGTGAATTGTATACAATACAGTATTGTAAGTTGATCAGTTAGGCAGTGCGATGGTGGCTATCATTTTGTTCTCTGTACTGAGGTTTTTAATCAAATCAGTACAGACTTCTGTTCAGTTTGTAGATCATTCACTAAACAAGTAACATCTTAGTAATGAGAATGAAACCTTTTCCATCTTAAACCCCAGACATATCGATACTCTTTTAAAACTGCATTATAAAATTACTTAATAATTTATTTCTCTTAAAACTTGATAGTCTGGAAGATAAAATATACCTTTTGGTAAAGAAAAATATATAACCAGAAATTAGTATTTTTTCTACCAAATTATATCACCAGGAATTACTCCTATAACACACTACATGATGTAATAACATACAAAAGTACACTGTCACAGTTCAACACTTAATATAAAGGAAGAAGGTCTGTTCCGCTAGTAACCATGTGACTGTGAACTGTAGCTAAGGTTGGAACACACTGACAAAATTTAACATTAATATAATAAAAAAGGTCTTCATTTAACAGATGGACCCATTTGGTGTTTCTTAGCATAAAAATTGTTACATTGATTGATGAGACAGAGAGCATGAGCACTGTCAGCTCAACATAATGATGTACCCAGTATTTCTGATGAACAATTAATACCACAATAATGAAATAAAAAAAATGTCATGTGAAAGCCAGAACTGATGCTCTAAAAACACTTGTGAGATAAGACGGTGTTCGTATACAGTTACTCAAATATTTGTTTTTAAAGAGAAAATACATTTTTACAGTTACTTAATTATGACCATTTACTTTCCACTTTAAAATACTTTTATTAACCTAATTCATCGTAACAATAAATACAATGATAATACTAGAAGGTAGTTTCAAATTATTCAACAAACCAGTTAACAGATGACATTTTTTTATATGTGAATTGGTTAGATGCATGAAAAATGTGGGATTAAGGGGTGGGGAGTGCTTTGGAAATTATAGTACTAAACTTATTACCTATTCATTATATTATATTAAGTTTGACTAGCATTATACAAGGTTTTCAGAGAACCCTATAAGAAACTTCAGTATTTCTCTACAGCGGGCTCAATTCACTAGTTCCTTTTAAGAAGCTCTATCTTTTCGAATACTATGTGAGACAGCAAATCTAAGCAAAGACCATATTCACTAAGATGTTACAACATGTTCTAAATCAAAAAGAAAGAAAATACTGAACACAAAAAGACAATTTAATCTTGTAAAATTTTCAAACAAGAAGACAGCTTTACATTGTCCACTGTGACACTAAGTTGTATCACACCCCACAGACTTGCTTCTAACTTGACTCTCTCTTGTATATTCGAGTTGAGACAATGTCTTCTACAGTACAAACCTAAAAATAACAATATGAGAACTACATACAGTTGTAGAAGATCAACAAATAAATAAAACTAGTAGATAAGTCTCCCAATTGGACAATGCTAAAAGATCTGGGGTTTCATTCCCCATAGTGGACACAGCAGACAGCTCCATGTGGCATTGCTCTAAAAATTAGCAAAGAAACAAAGGAGGTTAAGAATTGAATAATGGGCAGATACTAGAGGATTGGAAGTTAGCTAATGTCACTCCTCTTTTCAAGTTAGGGGATAAAAATTGTCCAAGTAATTATAGACCCATTAATCTTATATCAGTTGTGGGGAAAGTTTGGAGAGTCTGTTCAAAGATGTTTTGCAAAGTCACTTAACAAATTTAGAATTTTACTGGATAGTCAATATGGTTTCACAAAGGGTTTTTGCCTTACAAATCTTTTGACATTCTTTGAAAAGGTTACTGCTTTTTTCAGATGAGAGTAAGGGTGTAGGTATATCTGGATTTTCAGAAAGCATTTGACAAGGTGCCACATAAAAGGCTTGTAAAAAAAAATCATCTCTATAGGTGTGGGGATAAGCTAGCAAATTGGATAGAAGAAAGCAGAGGGTTGTTACAAATGCAGTTCATTAAGGTCTTTGGTGTTGTTAGCTGTGAAGAGGATGCTGCTGATTTACAAAAAGATTTAGTGAGTTGGGCAAATAAATGGCAGATGACTTTTAATTATAATAAATGCAAGATAATGTATGTGGGTTATCATAATTTAAATTATACGTAAAGTGTGGATGGGAATAAACTTAACAGTGTCATGAAAGAAAGGGATCTTGGTGTGATAGTCGATCAGTCTCTTAAGCCATCCAAGCAATATGTTGTTGCTAGTGGTAGAGAAAATAGGAGTTCAGGTTGTATCTATAGAAATACTTAATACAAGTCTAAAGAGGTTATAATTTCATTGTACAGTCACATTTGGGCTCCTTACCTTAGGAAGGACATTGAATTGTTGGAAAGGGTTACTAGAATGGTGCCTGGGATGGAGGGGGTTGTCATACAATGAGAGGTTGAGATCTTTCAAATTATTTTTTCTTGAAAAAAGAAGAGTCGAATGGGATCTGATTGAAGTGTTTAAAATTGTAAAGGGAATTGATAGTGTTGATGTATCATTTTTTGTCATACTTAACGGTGAGAACAGTAGGACTAGGGGACACAACTATAAATTTTGGCAGGGAAGAGTCATCTTCAGCTAAGACAGTTTAATTTTTCTAACAGGGTAGTTGGCCTTTGGAATGGGTTGCCTTTGGATTTTGTGGAGGCAGTAAATTTAAGTGAGTTTAAGAAAAAGCTTGATAAGTATATAAATGATAAGGGCTGGCTTTAAGATTTTTTTTTTAATTTATTTATTAATAGTTTAGAGGAAAGCCAAGATGGACTTACAAGTCTAATGTTGTCCCACAACATTATGTTATGTAATAAAGTATATCCTAATTTTGAGTTCTACCACAAGACCAGTGTTTAACAACACCATATCCACATATAGCTTTATTAATTATCCTATCTGACCCTTTACTTGGTCCATCCGAATCACTGTTTAACAATACCATATCCACACATAGCTTTATTAAGTATCCTATCTGACCCTTTACTCGATCCATCTGAATCACTGTTTAACATACCATATCCACATATAGCTTTATTAATTATCCTATCTGACCCTTTACTTGATCCATCCGAATCACTGTTTAACATACCATATCCACATATAGCTTTATTAATTATCCTATCTGACCCTTTACTCGATCCATCTGAATCACTGTTTAACATACCATATCCACATATAGCTTTATTAATTATCCTATCTGACCCTTTACTCGATCCATCCGAATCACTGTTTAACATACCATATCCACATATAGCTTTATTAATTATCCTATCTG